GGTGAATGCCTCCCTAGACTGCGACTCGCCTGGGGCCTGCCCGCAGCTCACGGCCTCCCTCCTGGTGCTGGATGGTGGTCAGCCCCCCATGAGCAGTGAGTGACCACTAGGCTGGGCGGTCGGGACAGGTGTGTTCTGCTCCCTGGTCCTGTTCTCAGGATGGGGTCATCTCTCCTCCCTCAAAACTGTAGGGCTGTTTGTCTCCATTTGGTACGGGGCGGGGGGGGCATATCTCTCCTCTCTTAGACGCTCCCTCCCACCAGACGCCTCTCTCTCCTTAGAGGCCCCCCATCCCCCCACCCCCGGGGCAGGGACAGGTCTCTCCCAGCCCTTCCCAGGCCAGCGCCCTAACTGCTTAATGGCCTCCAGCTGAGGTGCCAGTACTGGTGATGGTGACCCCCGTCAACGAGTTCTCCCCGACCTGTGTCCCCCGAACATTCCGGGTCCGTGAGGATGCAGAGCCCCGCACGCTGCTGGGCTCCGTGGTGGGCACAGACACGGACTACCCACACGGCGGCATTGAGTACCACACCCCTGGCGGGCCCGCCACCTTTGCTGTGGACCGGCTCAGCGGTACCTCCTCGCGGGCTGGGGTGCAGGGCGGGGGCAGAGCGGGCTGCAGGCTGAGCACTGTCACTCCTTCCAGGCGAGGTTCGCCTCCTGGGGCCGCTGGACTATGAGCAGCAGAGGTTGCACAGGCTCACCGTCCTGGTGACCGACCACAGCCAAGGCCTGGGCCCGGCTCGGCCCCGCTCTGGCTCCTGCACCATGGCCATTGAGGTGGAGGTGAGTGAGCCCCGAGGCCTTGGGGAGAACGAGAGGGTTCGGGTCTCCCTCTAGCACCCTGAGTTCTCACTCTGTGCCTCAGTTTCTTCCACTGGTTGGCTGGGGAAGGGGGGTGGGGCTCGTGGGAAAACTTTGTAGCCTGTTGCCTGCTACCCAGGCTCTAGCTGTGGCCGGAGGAGGCTGAGGGCGGGCCGGGGGCTCTGGGGAGAGGTAACCTGGCTACCTGCCTGCAGGACGTGAATGACCACGCCCCCGAGTGCGAGCCCCCGTTCCAGGAGCTCACCATCCACACTTCCCCGGGCAGCGGCATGGAGGTGACCAAGCTGTCATGTCGGGTCCCACAGGAGCCACAGCGCCAGGCCTTCTCCTACAGCCTCGTGGGAGGTGAGGCCCGGGGGCGCCCGGATGTGGGGGAGGAGCAGGCAAGGCCAGCAATGGTCCCCTCCTCCTGCCACTGCTTTCAGGGAATCGTCAGGGCCGATTCCGCCTGCAAGGAGCCGCCCTGCTGCAGGACGACCTCCTGTTGGGGGCCTCCCCGCCAGAGCAGCCCCAGACCTATGAGCTCTTGATCCGCGTGGCCGATGCAGGTCCCTCCGCCCCCCACCTCAGCACCACAGCCACGGTCATTGTGCATCTGGTTCCCTGGAGGGCCAGCACCGTGGCCACCAGCACCAGCAGAGCCACAGTGAGGGGGCCCGGGGCCGTGTGGGTGGGAGAGGCTCTTGGTGGGTGAGGAGACCCGGTCTTCTGGGTAGAGCCTGGGGGAAGGCATTCCAGAGGGAACCGCTGGTGCACGGAGCAGGACCAGAGAGCAAACCTGGGGTGGGGGTGGGGGGGCCAAGCCTTGAGGGGCTCAAAGGCAGGTTACCAGGGGTTCGGGCAGGACAGGGTGTAGCTGTGCCCCCATTTCAGGTGCCTTCGGCGATGACACCCCGGCTTGTGACTCACACGGAGCCTTTCTGGCAGCCGGAGCCCTGGTTTGTGGTGCTGCTGACGGTGACCGGCGCCCTGCTCCTGGCCCTGGGCTGGCTCCTCAGCAGGCATCTCCGGGGGTAGGGTGCTCCCTGCCCCCCGCCCGTGAATGGACCCCACCTGCGAGAGGCGGCTGTGGCCGAGATGTGATAAGAAAGCCCACGGGGATGAGCAGACAGACTGCTAGTCAGGGAGCTGCCCTCCCTCCGGAGGTGGCAGTTAGAGGCACAGAGGCCAGGGAAGGAAGCTGTCGCCATCGCTGGCGGAGCCCAGGTTTGGCACGGGATGGGGGTGGCGGCCCAGGCCTGGCCTCCCGGTGTGTGCGCCTGGGCACTGGCCCTGTTCCTTTCCCGGCCTCCACTGGAAACCTCGGAGTTTCTTGTGGGCACAGAGCTGAACCCAGGAGGAGGCGGGCAGCAATGGAGGCACTGCACACAGGCACTGGTCTCCCCAGCACCAAGGGGACATGAATGGCGCTGGCGCCTGGAGCCAGCAGGTCTGCCACCCGCACGCTCGGCCCTTCCTCCTGGCCTTTTCGATGGGCCCAGGGGCTGCGGGCACCAAGCAAACCAGCCCAGGCGCTGCTGCTAAACAGGCCAGCCTGCTCCGCACACCGCGGTGCCTGCCAGTCCGTCACCTGACCTCGGGCAGAGGCCCAGCGCCTCACCCTGTGGCCCTGCTCTAACTCTGCTCCAGGACCCAGGGAACTGTGGGGTCCTCTGAGGGGTTCATGGAGGCGCCAAGGATGGAGACACCCGAGGCACCCGGCAGCATCATGAGCCTGGTATGTCGCCCCCCATCCTGTGCAGGGGGGCATGAGGCTGCTGGGAGCTCCTCCTGCCAACCCTGCCCCTCCCAATGGCAGGATGCAGGCGGGCTCTGACCCGTGGACAGGTCCCACTCATGCGCCTTCGTTTTTCCCACAGCAACATTTTGATGGCAGAGCCCAGGACTCCCGTGAGCCCCCCTCTTCCTAACCCATTCCCCACCCAGACCCACTTCCTCTCC